AAAAACAGTCGTCATTAGAATAGGTAAGTCACAAAAACAGTCGTCATTAGAATAGGCAAGTCACAAAAACAGTCGTCATTAGAATAGGTAAGTCACAAAAACAGTCGTCATTAGTATAGGTAAGTTTACAAGGGCCGTCATTAGAATAGGTAAGTCACAAAAACAGTCGTCATTAGAATAGGTAAGTCACAAAAACAGTCGTCATTAGAATAGGTAAGTCACAAAAACAGTCGTCATTAGAATAGGCAAGTCACAAAAACAGTCGTCATTAGAATAAGTAAGTCACAAAAACAGTCGTCATTAGAATAGGTAAGTTTACAAGGGCCGTCATTAGAATAGGCAAGTCACAAAAACAGTCGTCATTAGAATAGGTAAGTTTACAAAAACCGTTGTCATTAGTATAGGTAAGTTTACAAGGGCCGTCATTAGAATAGGTAAGTTTACAAGGGCCGTCATAAGAATAGGTAAGTTTACAAGGGCCGTCATTAGAATAGACTCAAGCGCCTTCAGTGAAACATGCACGAGCAATAGTAGATATATAGGGCCTTATTTATCTGAATTGGTTTGACAACTTTTCCCTTTCATCTGGGTACTCAGAATGAAGATAAACCGAAGACTAAAAAATGCTCTATGTATCCTTTGACTATATGACATTAATACCACATTTGCCCACTGTGCAAGATCCACCATGTGTTACATTTCTGCAATGTTAATGTCACTTATTTATATTCAACACTGTTTATGATAAATTTTTGTGTACTAAATTTTGTTATCTTTCCAAGAGTGTATTGTCAATGATTTATCTCAATCACATACATTCTGTTTTACTTACTTTAAGTAAACTTTTGTTTTCATTCTGCCATTTGAATATATTTATCTAAATTGGTCGGTAATATTGATATGTAAATAAAACACAATGTGAAGTTTTAGCATTTATTTAAGATAAGATTACATAAATTCATTTTAAAATGAATAGACCCTACAGGTAGTTTTTAAGTTACAACTGAAAATGACAACAATTCTTGTTTCAGTTAACGCCAATAATCACATTTTGGAGATTTTTAATAAGACAATTTAATAATCCAGATTTCTGACCAGGGGCTGATATTTGACATAATTAAAAAACAGGAGGTAAACATTCCTGTTCACAGATATTCATATAACAATGTGTATGTCCTCATAGGAAGAACCATGTGGGAAGGTGTAAGCAGGGAATCTCACAGTTCTTGGAAAAAGCTGTGAAATTATTTCACCTTGAAACAAAATCAGAGGAGTGATCCTCTTAAGTCTGAGTTATTCATACACGCATTTCAAATAATTCAATAAGGAATGCCCCCCTCCCCCTCAAACAGGAAACCTACATGAGACCATAGAAATGACCATTTGTATAGATTTCTTACTTATTCATTGATATTAATTACTGGTCATACCTGTTCTCATTTGTGATTGCACTACATTGCAAAATTAGTGATTAAAACAATGCTAAAATTCATGAAGATATCATTCTTGCAAATTTAAATGGATACTGGATGAACAAATTACCAATCCACAACTCACTGGAGTACATAAAATCATAAAAACACACAAACAGAAATAAACTACATAAAATTTAAATATTTTAAAATATACATTTTGAGGGTGAAGGCAGTGCACAACAAATCACATACATGAAATCTACTTTGAATTAGTGGTCTAATTTTGATGTGTAGGCATAATTTTATACAGATAAATAATATTTAATAATGTCTAGTTTTTGATTTCTAGCAGACTGATAAAAAACATGGCTGATGAAAAACATTATTGACTAAATGTAGGAATTTGCATTCTGGGTAAAGCATATAATTTGCACCCGAGGTAAAGAAGATAATTTGCATTCTGGGTAAAGCAGATAATTTGCACCCGAGGTAAAGAAGATAATTTGCATTCTGGGTAAAGCAGATAATTTGCACCCGAGGTAAAGAAGATAATTTGCATCCTGGGTAAAGCAGATAATTTGCACCCGAGGTAAAGAAGATAATTTGCATTCTGGGTAAAGCAGATAATTTGCACCCGAGGTAAAGAAGATAATTTGCTTGATATACATTAGGCAACAAAAGCCCATTTTAAGGATGCAATATTCATATAAGAACTTTGGTTATGGTTGCCAACCTGAGCAAGTGATTCACAAAATAACTTGGATGTATCAAATTTGTGGGAAAATGAACACTACGCTACACTACGCAAATTCCATGGTGTCATCAAATATACCAGGCCAGAGCAAAATTAGTCCACCACTACTAGATCAAAATTGAAGAATGTCATTTCAGACTTTGCTCACCTTTCACCATCATAAAATATGTATTTTCAAGAAATGATTGTTTTAATTTCCGCTACCCACATGACACCCCCTCCCCAATTTATGCAGAAACATATATCTATTTCCAAAGTCGGTTTCACAATCTAAACTATCAAAGTTTTTTGATCAATTGATTCTTGTTCCATCATATTTTGTAAGTTCATTTATGAGATGTTCAAATCCTAATCCTTGTCATATCACACAGATTGAATGCATCATTCTTTGAAGAACTCTCCTTCTAGAATCACACAATTATCTTTTAGTATTTTAGTGATCTTCTTCTGAAATTTGTCTCGTAGTCGACTGAATTCCATCACATCTTTGGGCTTGGATTGCAGCCAGAATTTATCAAATTCAAATAAAAGATAACCTGAAGGAAAAAAAGAATGAAACAAGTCATTCATGTGACAGTCCCTGTTATCCAATTTAAGATATATAGTTTTGTTTATAGTAATATAACTGGAATACAACCATGTCAGGAATATGATTATGATGATTTTTTAACATTAAAATGATTGACATTTGTATCTGATCGTCAAACAAGTACTTGTCCATATTGAGAGATATTGCTCTGGAACAGCATTCAAAATCAGCCATTTTGAATACATGTATATATATATATATATATATATATATATATAACGAATATATAAAATTTGAATATAATCAGTCAAAGCATGTCAGAGATATGGCTCTAGAATCGCTAAGACAAAATGGTAAAAACATAAGTCCCCATTTTGGACTTTAATCTAGTGACTGCATTTAAAACAAACAAATATTCTGAAAACTATCCACAGCAAAGGCAGTGAAAAGTAAATACCAAAAGAATTGAAAAAAATGAGGTGTTTGGTTTTATAGATGTTTATTAGACAAGCATGTCTAGGAAAAAATAGGTCTGAAATTCTTAAAGGTATTAATGTATTATAGTACAATATATATGATTGAACAGCTATACAAATTAACATATTATACTGGATTCGTAGCCAATGGGAATTGCTGTTACATATTGAGTTACATGACACAAAAGAGTGCAACCATATGGTAACCATAATTGAATATACTCGTAGCAATATGGTTTGTCCTAGTTGAGGGTACAAAACAGGTTGCTTTGGCTAATCATCATAAGGTACAGGTACGTGCATGTCATATATGAATGAATGAACAGATACAAGGATGGTTAGATGCGAATAACAGACAGGTAAATAATGAAGGAATGAATGGGGGGACAAATGAGAGGATCGGTAACTGAATAACTGAATTAATGTATATCTGTTTTGATGAATAGTATTATAATTTGTAATTACATTTCAGCCAAACCAACTGTTACACTTAGAATATACTTACAATAAACTCTGTGAAAATCTGTCATATTTGGCATATCTTGTTTAAGATTATAGAAGTGTACTCTCAATGTGCCATTCAACATTAATGTATAGGCCATATTAGTTATATTGATACCAACAATTGCAAAGGAATATCTGGAAACAAACAAAAAATTAACATTGCAATTAGTGTGAATGTTTTGAAAGAATATTTGGTTTGTTGTCGATTTAGTCTACTGAGGTAATCTGTAAATTGGAAGAAATGCAACTGATTTATGCCACCATGAGAAGTGAAAGTGAAAACGGCTTTTATTTTTAAAATTAGACATCTGTAGAATGAAGCATAATATCGCATTATTAGGTATTATTTAACACCTTTAGGTTCATGTATACTGCTGTATTGTAAAGTAAAATTATGGAATCATAGAAAAGAATGGTTATATGCCTGATCACCAGCTCATCAAAGACAAAACAGATCCATCATTCTTGGATAACAAGTTAACACTATTTAGTTAAGGTGCACATGACCTTATAATGAACAACATCGAGTTGCGAAACTAAAATCTGTGATAAATTATTATTAGGAAATACCGGTAAAGGAATATTATGGAATCCAGTGTTCTCACATCCATGACTGCTGGAAGTGTGAGATCATCAGTATGGGATCAAATCAATCCCACACTCTGTATACATTCATATTAGTGAGATTGAATGACACCCAGAATACTGTCAAATAGTTTGATAAGTAGCATACAAGTTTTCTTAAAACATAGTTGAACTCAGGTGACCTTGCCCTTTGTTATATAATACTATTCCCTTTATCATAGTTTTTTTCAATATGAATATGCATTGTCATAATTAATTTTGAATACAAACAAGTTTTGGGGTAGAAACAACAGTGGAGAATCAGTCTACCGAATGTCCTTGATAGATGTAAATATCTTACAAAAACATTGGTGTCTAATTTGTTTAATAATTTTAAGGAACATAATTTCCAGCTTTATTCAAAGTAATTCAGATATTTTAGTATAACAACAAATGCTTCATCTCAGAAAAAAAGTGCTGCATTTGGACATGAATAGATTCATAAAACATGCAAGATAACAGAAAATCTTAGTTGGCTTTTGTCCAAGTATTTTGTACAGGTGTCTGTCAAAAATTAATGATTCACTGAGACAAATATGAACTGCCTCATTGTGTGACTACTGTATTATATGAAAAGTAAAAAAAAAACGCCCTCTACGAATAGCTATATTGCAAGCTCTCCTTTGTATGCAAATCAACTTAAATAGTTCGTTGGTGTGCAGTGGAGAGAGAAGTCAACAGTACTGTTGAGAATCTACATCTTCCAACACTGCAATCTTTGTTTTTGAAGTGTGTTTTTAAATTAGTATTATAAAAGCTCTATTATTATGTTCTAATAGCTGAAACAAATTCCTGTGAACTTTCATTTGTCGAATGAACTGTTTGTCAAATACAGAATACATATATTTTAGAATATTTTCTTTTTAAAATGTGGATACACCATTTTGCTTTTTATGTATTTTTTATGTATTGTTTTTGATTTGATAACTTTGAACTAAACAGATTTTCTATTAGCTTCAGATCTTGATCAAAGTTTGGCACCCAGTTCATAGGAGTGCTTATAATGATTTTCTAACATCTTGTTTTCTGTAAAGATTTTATTGGTAGGTTTGCAAATGTGTATCAGACTGTGCAAAAAATCTTTCCATGAGTTGGTTTTGAAACCCAGTATAGTATTCCCATGGGATTTGGAAGATACATTACCAACGATATTATTACAAGATAAATGATTCGCTTTATTGAACACATACAACAATGCATATTTCCACTGAGATCAGTGACCTTTGAATGTGTATCACCAGTGATCAGTCAAGTAGAAACAGTCAAAATATTTGATCAGATTTTCTCAATTTTTGCATGATAATTTCATACAGGACTTCTGTTGTTCATACTCAGGAAAGACTTTATACTGATGAATAAGTTTGACCAAGTTTGATAAAGTTTGGAATAGAATTAGTAAAGGTATTGTGTACACAATAGCAATTATTAACAACGACGACAACAACGACGACGACGACGACGACATTGCCAGACAGAAATTGTCCCCTTAATATACCTTTCCCTTCCATCTTTGATGGTATGGGCTAGGTAAAAATGGATGTCTCGCATACAGAAGCTGTGAATTGTCCGACAGTAAATGTGTCCCAGACTTTGTGTTGGCCACATAAGCATCATCATGTACCAGCACATGTAATATAATGACAGTTTTGCTTTTGTCAGTCACTAGAGTCAGTATTTATTTGTTCTTACTAGTTTTAATATATTGTTTTCACATTGTGATATCTTGACCATGACATTCTAAGCCATCAAAAAGAAACTATTAAATAGAACTGAAAGTTGTACAAAATTAGTTTGTCTAAATTAGCTAGATACCTGCAAATATGTGGTAACTAAAATGACAAATATAGTGAATATTGACATACATGCTGGTCAGTATGTGTTTGTAGAAAATATATGTGGGTAAAATGACAGGAAGTGAATCATAAATAATTTGTTTTTAATAATTAATATAATTTGCCAACCTGGTAGGACAAACACAAATTCTATTTATATGGCGTATTTCACCAAAATTAATTAAAGTTCTTGGACAACAAAATTACATTTGTAAATACTTTAATGTGCAGAATCATATGAATATAAATGAGTTATGAACTATTGGTAGTATGATTGCTATAAAAATAATATAATTAACAATTCACAAACCTAATAATTATATTATACTAGAAATGTTATTGTCCGAGTACACTGTTATGACTAGATGAGAGTGTGTTTTTAATTATGCAAGCTATGATGAAATACATTGTATTCCGTGTTTTTTCACATTTAGGAGTAGGCCCTAAACATGAATAACACACAATTAGAGGTAAATCCTGCTGTCAACTAAATCAGCAAAAATAACATAACGGGAATACACCAATGAAAACCACTGCAACACTTAGCTATTTTGGGCTCAAAAGAGATGAATGCAAAAATTATTTTTTCAGAATTATGCAAACAACACCAACAATTTCAGTGGCTCGCTCATGAACTTGAAAGCACTGTCGATCATCGAACATAATAGGGCATAGTGTTTGTATTTTTTTAAATTATGAGACAATTTTATATGTATATATCAATGCTGCCATTAAGAAGAAACTAATTGAATATACTTTCGCTATTCAATGCATCTATAATTACTGTATGCTAGTTCCAAGGATGCAAACAGTATTTCAAAGCTTATCACATTTGTACATGGTTTTTGATAATTTAAAGTTATTCCAATATAATATAATTACATTTAAAATGATTTTGGTATAAATAATATAATGGCAATAAACCAGCACAGGAGTTGTGTATACAACAGTATTTACTTGATTTTTCACATCCACTCTATGTACATACTTGCTGGCCATTGTTTATTGCTTCAATAACAGTACGTTAGAGTATCTTAATAATTAAATATGAAGAAAGAGGGTTCCCTGATGCTGGTTGACTCCCTAACACAGTAGCGACTGATGCCAACTGACTCCCTAACACAGAAGTGCCTGATGCCAACTGACTCCCTAACACAGTAGCGCCCGATGCCAACTGACTCCCTAACACAGAAGCGACTGATGCCAACTGACTCCCTAACACAGAAGCGCCTGATGCCAACTGACTCCCTAACACAGTAGCACCTGATGCCAACTGACTCCCTAACACAGTAGCGCCTGATGCCAACTGACTCCCTAACATAGTAGCAGCTAATGGCAACTGACTCCCTAACACAGTAGCAACTGATGCAGACTGACTCCTTAACACAGTAGCACCTGATGCCAACTGACTCCCTAACACAGTAGTGGCTGATGCCAACTGACTCCTTAACACAGTAGCACCTGATGCCAACTGACTCCCTAACACAAGAGCGCCTGATGCCAACTGACTCCCTAACACAGAAGCGACTGATGCCAACTGACTCCCTAACACAGAAGCGCCTGATGCCAACTGACTCCCTAACACAGTAGCACCTGATGCCAACTGACTCCCTAACACAGTAGCGCCTGATGCCAACTGACTCCCTAACATAGTAGTGGCTAATGGCAACTGACTCCCTAACACAGTAGCAACTGATGCCGACTGACTCCTTAACACAGTAGCACCTGATGCCAACTGACTCCCTAACACAGTAGTGGCTGATGCCAACTGACTCCCTAACACAGAAGCGCCTGATGCCAACTGACTCCCTAACACAGTAGCACCTGATGCCAACTGACTCCCTAACACAGTAGCGCCTGATGCCAACTGACTCCCTAACATAGTAGTGGCTAATGGCAACTGACTCCCTAACACAGTAGCACCTGATGCCAACTGACTCCCTAACACAGTAGTGGCTGATGCCAACTGACTCCTTAACACAGTAGCACCTGATGCCAACTGACTCCCTAACACAGTAGTGGCTGATGCTAACTCACTCCCTAACACAGAAGCGCCTGATGCCAACTGACTCCCTAACACAGTAGCAACTGATGCCGACTGACTCCTTAACACAGTAGCACCTGATGCCAACTGACTCCCTAACACAGTAGCAACTGATGCCGACTGACTCCTTAACACAGTAGCACCTGATGCCAACTGACTCCCTAACACAGTAGTGGCTGATGCCAACTGACTCCTTAACACAGTAGCACCTGATGCCAACTGACTCCCTAACACAGTAGTGGCTGATGCCAACTGACTCCCTAACACAGTAGCGCCTGATGCCAACTGACTCCCTAACACAGTAGCGGCTGATGCCAACTG